TGGGAATTTAAGAATAGGTCTCGGTCCTGAGAACTACGGGTCTCTGATGCTGAGAATGATCACAGAATACGCCGAGTTGGAAGGGACCCACAAGGATCATTGAGTACAACTCCTGACCCTGCACAGGACCATCCCCAAGAATCACACTAAGTGCATGAGAATATTGTCCAAATGCTTCTTGAACTCTCTCAGGCTTTGTGCTGGGACCACCTCCCTGGGGACCCTGTTCCAGCACCCAGCCACCCTCTGGGGGAACAACTTTTTCCTAATATCCACCCTAAACCTCCCCTGACACAACATCAGGCCATTCCCTTGGGTTCTGTCACTGGTCACCACAGAGAAGAGATCAGTGCTTGCCCCTCCTCTTCCCCTCATCAGGAAGTTGTAGATTGCAGTGAGGTCTGCCCTCAGTCTCCTCTTCTCCAGGCAGAACAGATCAAGTGACCTCAGCCACCCCTTATATGGCTTTCCCTCAAGGCCCTTCACCATCTTCATTGCCCTCCTTTGGACACTCTCTAATAGCTTAATACCTTTCTTACATTGTGGTGCCCAATACTGCACACAGTATTCAATCCTCTCTCTCGACCGACCGGGCAACGTTTTGCCTGATGCCCCCCCCAGACAGGGTTGGCCCTCCTGGCTGCCAGGGCACTGTTGACTCAGATTCAACTTGCTGGCAACCAGGACCCCCAGGTACCTTTCCATGGCACTACTTTCCAGCACCTCATTCCCCAGTCTGTCCGTACATTCATGGTTGCCCCACCCCAGGTGCAGAATCCGGCACTTTCCCGTGTTGAACCTCATATGGTTGGTGATTGCCCAGTCCTCTTATTTGCCAAGGTCTCTCTTCAGAGCCTCTATGCCTTCAAGGGAGTCAAGAGCTCCTCTGAGTCTTGTGTCATCTGCAAACGTTCTTATTATCCCTTCCAGACCTGCATCCAAGTCATTTATGAAGATGTTGAAGAGCACAGGGCCTAAGATGGAGCACCAGAGAACCCCACTAGTGACAGGTTGCGTGGTTTAAGAATGCATTGTGGAAAAATTCCATAAAGCTGAGGTCTATGTTTCTGTGATCCTGAGACTGCAAAAGCAGTGGGGTCAGTCTCATCAATATGTGTGAATTTATATTTGTAAGCTTATTAGTTTCAACTACCAACAATGAGGGACTGATGGTGAAAATAATTTTGAAGAAGCCTGTTTTTCTCCACTCACAACCTTTGTTCTTCAAAGGGATTATCTACATAACTTCGTACCTTCTGTGCTATGTAGCAACCAGATTAAATTCAAGATGATCCTGGCAGCCTGCCGGAATCAATGAGCAGTGTGTCGTGGTGCTTCACTGTACATTTTGAACTGTCATTTCACCATCAAAATAGGTAGACGTGAGAACCTGGCTTCCAATTCCTTTGCCTTTATGGAACAGTGTCATAGACTCTCTTCAATGCTGTGAGGTAGATCTTGCAAGGCCAGGTGGTATTTTCAGGCCTTGCTTTATCTCATTGTTGAAACTTGATTAAAATCTGTATCTACAAATACAGAAACATCAGGTTATTTTCCTAAAAAGATATTTATTTTTTATATACATACTGTGCAGCACTTATCTACTATATGTTCTAAACTTCTTTAATTAATCTAAAGCCAGCAATGCTTTTATTTATCCATCAGATTCTGTAATATTCTCTAAATGTGGTCAAGCATAACTGCTGTCGTCATAATAGGAGCCAGTTGTTTAAATGCTCAGTTGTGAGTATCTAGTGAAATAGTTTTAAATAACAAGATAAACAGTACAGCTGCCAAACCAAAGTAATCTTACACTGAGGGGGCGTGTGGCACAGAAAATTTCCTCTTTGTCATTTTGATTTGAGTTTGAAGCTGGACCTGGGCTTAGTTCCAACTCAAAAACACTATTCACTTCAAAGGCTTCTAAATCGTCCCAAGGAGCTAATTTTGGCAGCCAATTGTTTTTGTTTGGCCAGGCATCCTAATAGCAAAAGCCGTCTGCTCCACCAAATGAAGATTTCTTCAATGCTCAGGTTTACTATTCCTGATTTTATCCTGATATGGGGGGGTGCACACTTTTTACTGGTTTCCCTGTCTCACCCCAAGTTCACCACTTGTTAAACTGTTCACTATTTTTTAAACTGTACCTAACTATCTGGCATGTAAATTCAAAATATACTTACTATTTTAAAAATAGAGGATAATGTATTCTGCTCTGAGTTACTGCTTAATCCTAAATTATTGCTGGATTATCTGCTTGCTTTCTCAGCAACTAGTAAATAGTTTGTTGTTTTTCCATTCTCATGAACAGTATTAATCTGGTTAATTTACTGAATTAAATATAACTAGCTTCACTTTAGAAGAAAAACATTTGCAGCTGTGTTGGAGATACTATCATATTTTTTATAATAATTATGTGAACAGCTTTTCCTTCAGTAAGAAGGTGCTTGTGATGCCAAAAAGACACTGACAAATAAAATACTGTGCCATTCTTAAAGCTTAATATGAAAATGTGCAAATAGACTGTTTCTGTTGAGGAAGAAATTGGTCAGTCAGTACAAGACATAGAGAAACATTAAAAAGTAAATCTTGTGAATCATTTAAGAATGGGACAGTACTCACTTTCATGCCACACAGGGAGTATTTAATTTTGAATGTATATCTCTACTTTGCTATTTTTAGATTTCTGCACCAGAATTTTGGGAGAATCATACCAAACAAATTTAATTATGAGATATAAGAAATTATATGGTCACAGTTTGGCAACATGCAATGCAGATGAAACTCAGGTGGGCCCTGTCAGTGTTTACATGAAGCTTAGCATAAGTCAGAATTGCTCTGTTTATGGAGATGGAGCTGAACAGTGATCTGTGAAGTAGCTAAATCCAGATTATCCAGAGAATAATAATTTGGCTTCATGTAATTAAAAAAAAAAAAAAGAGTTTTCATTCTCTTTTTAAGAAAAAATTAAACCTTTCAAATTGGGAAATGCATTGAAAAGGTAAAAATTTTGGCTTTCATTCACACATGGCCTCAGACACATTATCAAGATGGTGCAGTTCCATGCACTTTTGCAGAGCACTATGCTGACAATAGAAAACAGTAGGAAGTGCTCAGACCAACTTCTTAAAAATGTATCATCAGATCTTGGAAAGCTGAGAGTTCATCTGTGGCAGGTTACTTTCTGAAAGGAAAAACAATTTTAATGCAAACCAAGTATTTTCTATTGTTATATTATTCTCATTATTTCACAGTCCAAGAAAATAATTTTATTAAAAATGCTTTAAAACCTTGATCTTAAATGGGCATGGACTTGCTAATAATTTACCATGGGCATTTATTAGTAAGTAGCAAAATCAAAATCAGTTAGAATACTTAGTTTATTTTACTTTCTTGTTTGTTTTCTGAATTGACATTGTACTCTTAAGGCACAGAGTCTCTTGCATTTCTCTTATTCAATTTAGATTTGTAAACATTTGCATTTTAAAAAATTGAATGTAATAGCCATGAACTTTGCCTAGAAAAAAAGGTGTTCAGTAGTCACCCTGCTTGTATTTTTTTCTACCAGGACTCCTAATCAATTTGTTTCCACTAATACATATTTTATATATATTTATTTTTTACCTTTTCATATGGAGCTGGTTTAATATTCATATTTTAATGTTAGCCAAGGTAGAAAAGTTAAAATATAGCATGATTTTCTTGCTGTCTTTAACCTGCCTGGTTGCCAAGGAGGATAATACACTTTTGAATACCATAATTTGCAAAAGACTATAAAATCTAATTTCTAGAGAAGGAAATTTTTGCAGTACTTACAGTTGCTGAGTGTTTGAAATACGTATTTGCTTTCAATTAAAGAAATTCTTGTGCTCTTCTTCAAAGTAATATTCATACAACATCTTCATAAATGACTTGGATGCAGGTCTGGAAGGGATAATAAGAAAGTTTGCAGATGACGCAAAACCCGGAGGAGCTCTTGACTCCCTTGAAGGCAGGGAGGCCCTGCAGAGAGACCTTGGCAAGTTAGAGGACTGGGCAATCACCAACCATATGAGGTTCAACATGGGAAAGTGCCGGATTCTGCACCTGGGGGGGAGCAACCATGAATGTACGGACAGACTGGGGAATGAGGTGCTGGAAGGCAGTGCTACAGAAAGGGACCTGGGGGTCCTGGTTGCCAGCAAGTTGAATCTGAGTCAGCAGTGCCCTGGCAGCCAGGAGGGCCAACCCTGTCCGGGGGGGCATCAGGCAAAGCATCACCAGCCAGTCGAGGGAGGGGATTGTCCCGCTCTGCTCTGCACTGGGGCAGCCTCACATTGAATACTGTGTGCAATATTGGGCACCACAATGTAAGAAAGGTATTAAGCTATTAGAGAGTGTCCAAAGGAGGGCAGTGAAGATGGTGAAGGGCCTTGAGGGAAAGATATATGAGGAGCGTCTGAGGTCACTTGATCTGTTCTGCCTGGAGAAGAGGAGACTGAGGGCAGACCTCACTGCAATCTACAGCTTCCTGATGAGGGGAAGGGAAGGGGCAGGCACTGATCTTTTCTCTGTGGTGACCAGTGACAGAACCCAAGGGAATGACCTGATGTTGTGTCAGGGGAGGTTTAGGTTGGATATTAGAAAATGATTGTTCCCCCAGAGGGTGGCTGGGAGCTGGAACAGGGTCTCCAGGGATGTGGTCCCAGCACAAAGCCTGAGAGAGTTCAAGAAGCGTTTGGACAATATTCTCATGCACTTAGTGTGATTCTTGGGGATGGTCCTGTGCAGGGCCAGGAGTTGTACTCAATGATCCTTGTGGGTCCCTTCCAACTCGGCATATTCTCTGGTTCTGTGATAATGTAAAAAATATCTGTTTTGTATTTGTTGTTTTGCATAATTTGAATTCCAACTGATATAATGAAATGTATCTAGAAGACAATATATTCTAAAATACCTTAAAAAAAGTTAAATCCATTTAAGCCAAACTTAACATTTTTTTGTCTCTCTTATTTCTTTAGGACTTTCGAACAGTGGTACCATCTATTTTTCTCTTCGAAAAGTTTGGAAAAACTTACTCCCGCGCTGGGCAAATAGTGTAGTTGTCCTGGAAACTACACAAGGCACCTGAAAAGTAATCAATAAATGTATTTCAGCAAATGCACAGAAGCATGTTGACTGAATGTCCCATAAAGTAGTCTTCCTGTGATGTATACTATGTCTGAAGTAACGTTAATTGATTTTGCTTGATCTTTAAGCGATATGGCTTCCAGGATTTATAAAAACTTTTTTTGTGTGTTTTTTTTTAAAAAAAATTAGCTTAAGAAAATGATTTCTGAAAATGCTATATTTTATTTAACATAAATAATTTAGGATAGAAAACCAGAGTCATCAAGTAAAATACTTGGAATCACATTTATTTGTTACAGATTTGTAAATGAGTTTAAAAAAAGAAGATAGTTTAAAATTTACATCTGTTTTTTTCCTCACAACTATAAATGTATCTGCTTCATCGCTGTTGTTCATCATTTTCAGTGTTATTAGGCATCCTTTTTGGCTACGGATTCATGTCTTCAGAAGTGCAGGATAGGCATTTACATGGAAGATACTCTTTTAAATCCTTTTAGCACTTCTGTGGGTGGTCTCTGGTGGTCTAGTGGTTAGGGTGCAGGACTCTCACCGCTGCGACCCGGGTTCGATTCCCAGCCCCCCGGGCAGATGGAGCTCGTCAGCCCTGTGAGGCAATCCATCTAAGAGAAGGTCACTCTAAACAAACCTACGTCCTGGGGACCTCACTGCCACTGTCCAAGTTTGCTCGGCCCCGGCAGATGAACCTCAGGATTAAAGGGTGGGCTCAGTTCAGCGCACGCTGTGTCTCACCTGAAAAAATCCACTGTGCAGGCTCGAAGGGTTAATGACCTTTCCCAAATCTTCGCTCGCGAAGACTGGCCATTATATATATTATTGGGTGGTAGGACTTTAGTGTTGAAAAAACAAAGTTCTGACAACATCTATGCCTTATTATTAGATCAGTTTTTCTATATTCACTTAATTTTCTTTATCACTACCTGTGTATTTACTCCTAGTCCTGTGTTAAGTGAGGCCATAATCATGTGATACTTGGCAAGAAGAACACATTTGATGACACAAAACTGATACTAGTTTGGTCTGTTCACTAGCAAGCAATCCTGCAAAATAGTGAGTATCCTCAGAGCCCATCCACTTCAAAAGACTCAAGGAATTCAACATCATGAGAAGACCTCAGCGTATCTAAAGAGCAAATCATAAGCTAATTCTTAAAATTATGTGAGTGAATTTTACAGGAGTTTTATGCTGAATTCTCTATGGTAACTTATTTGCTTTTCATATCATTTGACTATATTTGAATCAAATATATCTGTTTATCTGTGGTTCATGGTAGGCTTTTTATTACTGAATTTTGTTATGTGATTCTTCTGTGCACTACAACTGTGCAGAAAAGCTTGAAGAGATGTCTGTTTTTGTGAATACTTTCTGAATTGAGTCTAGTGAGAGGTGTCCCTGCTCATGGCCGGGGGCTTGGAAACAGACAAACTTAGGCTCCCTTCCAACCCAAACCATTCTATGATTCTATGAAGTAGGAGTTACAAATTTCCTTTCCATAGGTTTTCAGCTATCAGGCTGTGTAAAAGTTTTCCTGGTATCACACACCACAGTAAAAGCCCTTTCAATTCCGTTCCAGCAGGTTGTGAGTGCAGGCACTGGACTGTACTGGTACTACTTTTTGAAGTTTGTTATTTTCAAGCTTTAAAAAGTTTATTCTGCATGGCAATGAGAATTAACTCTGGGAAGCAGAAAGCAGCCACCTCAGTGGCTGATAAGATTTAATCTGATCCAATGTATCAGAGTGCTTTGGTTGTTCCTGGAAGGGATTGAACATGAGACACTTGTGCAAAACTGTTGATGAATAAAGATGGCACAGTAATTTTTATATGTGAGAGCTATCTATGTGATTGCTTCAGCTTTAAGGTAGTTCATCACAGTAATTCACCCTGTGTTGCCTCTTTAACTTCATACCACAGTTTCCCATCAGTCCGATTAGAAATGGCAATGCCTTTATCAGATTAATCTTTCTTTCTCTTTCTTCCTTTCAGTATCTCTGACCCCAGAACAAAACAAAACCTACCTTGCAGCCTGTACTGCACTGGCAGAAGTGCTCATAGCTGAGGGTCCAGTGCACAGATGGAGGTTAAAACCAACACTTCTAATTGTAATTGTTTGATACATACACACCTTTCCTCCTCTTATGAAAAAAACCCAGACTTTTCTGTTTCTAAGCAGATAGCTGCTTGCCAGAAACTTTCTTACACAAAACCAGGTCTGATTATTTTATTGGATGAATAAACATCCACAAAATTAGTAGAGTAACAAATATATTACCTGTGAGATTTGGGGTTTGGGCTTCTTTTGCCAATTGTATGTCATAGGGAATCCAATTCTTACCTTTATCTGGAGTTCAAACAGAATTTATGTCGTTCATGAGCATGTAGCATCCAAACTATTTTGTGTGGCCACACTAAAATCCAAGAATTCTTTTATTTCTCATTAAGTGCATGCAGCACTTATTCAGTACATTTACACTAACCATTTAATAATTATTCTAGAGGGACCTTTACCAACTCTTTCATTATGTAGAGACTTGTTATTATTTTTATTGCTCTCATAAATAGCATATAAACATATGAAAAGGGCTGACAGAGAAGTAGCTTGAATATGTTTTTAAATATAAAAGCATATTCATCTCAGAAACTTTAGCTGGATTTTGACTGACTTCTTTAGTTTTAACTCCCAACCAAATGCTGCTAAATCCAGGAACCTTTGTGAGCTTGGACTGGAGAACCTGCCTCTACATTTTTTGTGTATACGGTGAGGCTAATGGAGAAAACTCCCAACATTAAAAGGAACAGCTAGGAATAATTTAAGAAGCTAGTCCTGGGAAACCTACAGCATGTTGGACTATTTTGATCACAAAGGCAGCTCAGAATTAATTATATTGTAGCACGGAACACACCAGTAGTTTTTTGTTAAGCAGAGGAATTGAACATCATGGACAATTCAAAAAAGTAGTTTGAAAGTGAATGTTAGCAACTCTGCAGTGTATAGGAAAGGAAATAAAAGATACATTTTAGTACTGGGGTAGACCTAATTTCTGTGACCTGGGAATAGACTACCACTTCCATTTGGTAACTTCCTGTGGCAAGCAAGTGAATGTGTCTGTCTGGCAAAGAACATTTTGTTTTGCTGCTTTGCTTAAATCAAAATGTTTGCATGTAGCAAACTTACAGTTTTTATCTAAAGCCAGTTAAAGCTAAAATTTTGATATTTTAATTAACTGCAATAATACAGTGAACAAGACAGTAAAAATTTTGATGATGTCATTACATAACCAGCTGTCTATCAATATAAACACTGATTGTGTTCAACTTTCTTATTGATATAGTTTACCATATCAGTTTTAATTATCAAATTGCTTTTTATAATATTTGACTAATGTGTTTTAATATTTTACTTACTCTAGGTTTTCCTCATCAACAAAAATGTTGGTTTTATAGCATTGTAATACCAAATTGTGTGTACTTCAGAGAAGATTTTTCTGTTTTATAGGAGATGTTAAAATCCATTTGCACACTACAAAATCTTAACATGTGGAATGGGTATAGATAGAGGCACCAGGAAATGAGTGCTCTGAAAATTTGTGGGGGATTCCTGGATCTTGGTGAGTCTACAAGATATGTAGCCTCTTGGACATTTAGGAAAATTGTCACAGCAGTATCTGAAAATCAAAAAGAATCACCGTGATGGCAGGAAAATAGACAAATGTAAGAAACTCCATATTAGTCTTCAGAAAAAGAAGCATAATTAATTGTCCCACTGAATGTATTTCAGTCGTGGTTGCTGTTTTCTGGAATAACAAAATATGGCCTTCAGCATGCAGCAATACAAAGACAAGTGTGTTCCTTGCTTTTCAGCAGCAGAAACAGGAGTAGTTTTTGTAATTTGAACTGATTTAGTACCCGTGTACAGAGGGGAAAAAAATAACATTGGACTTTTTCATACTGCATGGCTGAAGAGGCTTAACAATACCTTTAGGAAGCAGCACATACTGGGAAGAACTCATCATACTCACTAACAAAGTATCTCTAATATGTCACTTAGATATTTTTGTCTAACATACAAAAAACCTGGAACATAATACTTTGATGTCCACTTATGTCTGAGCAATTTGTGTAGATTATGGATCTTGAGAGAGTCAAATATTAATGTTATCTTTTTCTATATCAGATGCTCTGGCCTACATGCCAGGTGCTAAGGGTTCAAAGCCTCTTTGCACCTCTTTGCTAATGACCAATGAGTTTTGGATTTAACCACCAGTGGGGATGGCAGCGCTCATAGAAAGATACAGGCAGAGCCATTAAAAGGGAACAGCTATGTGCTAAAAGTTCTTCAAAACTCACATCATAAGATGTTTCAGGGATATCAGGAAACGTCTGGTAACATCTTTTCTTGCCAAACCTACGTGCTGTTACTCAGTGGATTAAGGATCTTTCAGTGTTGCTGCCCAATAGCTTTGTTTGTCTGCTACATAGCTGATGTTGTAAACACAGAAAAATCTCTTAATTTAAGTAATTTAAGAACTGCCTTCTGGGTTGATCCAAGATGTTCTCAACACTTGTCAGAGAAAACATTTAGCTTGCAATGCCCTCTAGAGGCAGATTTGCCTTAGTAGTGGTGACTGCAGATACGCCCTTTACTTTTCTGGTCCAGTACTGGAGCTTTCAAGAAACAGAGGGTTTTTTAATTATTTTTTTAATTTTATTTTTGTTTGTTTGTTTTACTTTTTTTTTTTTTCCAAATAAGCCACACTTCACATTTGTGTAGGAGCAGAGATCTGGAATTATTAGGGGCTCTGCAACTGACCCAGATGCCTCATTCTGGACTTGCACAGAACGTGCTTCCAGGTGAGATGGGGCCATATTTAAACTGCAAAGCAAGATGTCAATGCTTGCAAACAATAATGGATTTTTATTTACAAATACTTTACGTTGAATAAGACTCTGAAAACATAAAAAATATTTCTAGCAGCTTACTGTTATTCCAAAGGATGTGTTTGCAGTGTGCCTTCTAGAAATCTGTAGTCCTCAGTTTAATAAATTCAAAAGTTCTGCACAGTCGAGTTTGTTAGAAAGATGAGGATCTGTCTTTTACTGGCAGCCATGGGCTGCTATACTCAGAACAGCAGGGACTGAAAAAGAGAGGATGACCATAATTTCTTAATATCAAAATCTTTGTTATCCCATATTAAAATAGAAACTCTACAACCACAAAGGAGTCACCTCCATGTAAGCAGAAACAGAATTTGAACCTTGAAGCTTTTATTTGTCTTAACTTCATTCATAAAAGATTTTGGGGGGTGAATTTAGTTTCACTAGTTGACAAAGGTTTATGGTAGGCCTAGAAAAATGTCAGCAAAGAAGCTCGGGCAATGCTGGATTGGCTTCATATTCTTCCATCTTTTAATAGTTCAGCTCATTAATGAGGAAATCATCTGGCTGCTGGCACAATCAGATGTAGTCACTTATC